GGCCCTCCTGGTCCTCCCTGTTCCTGTCCTCCCTCTGGTGCCCACTGCCATCGAAGCTGCATGGAGGGTCCTCGAGGCTGGCCCTGCCCTGGCCTTGCTGTGTGCTCCTCCAGGGAAGTCCCAGCTCGCCCTCTCGGCCACACCTTCCTCCCCTGTGCGCAGGCACCTCTGGGAGTAGGCTCTGTGGTCCCTGCAGAGGCCTGTCGCCAGGTGCCCAGCTCATCTCGGTTTGCTGAGGACTGTCCTGACCTCAGCGGGAAGCCCCCGTCCGGGCAGCCCCTCAGCCCACGGCAAATGACGAAGGTCAGTTGCTCTGTTACCAGGGACGTTTCTTTCCACCAGGTCCTGCCCGCTGCTGCCCCGTCTCAGCCCATAGCCCTGGAACTGCCCCTTCTCTTCCTGTCCAGGCCCTTTTCCTGCCCTCACTTCGCCGTGGCTCAGCCTGCAGAGCCCCTTCCTCCCTGCTCCTCTCCCTTCCCTCTCGGTGTCCCGTTTGCCTCGGTCTCTCTGCTGTCCTGTCCCCAGGATTGTCACCTTGTTGATTTCTGGAGTCTGTCTCCGTTCTCTGCCCACTTCCGCGTCTCCCCTCTCCATCTGGTGTCCTGCCCACTCTGTCTCCCGATCCTAACCGGGTCTCCGGCTCACCACCTTCCCTGGGTGGTCCAGGCCTCCCTCCTCGCCCCTGGCACGCACCCCCGGAGCTGGCTGGCTGGGGTGGGAGCCAGGTCTGGGGGTTGTGACCGGCAGGGAAGGGAACCCAAGCAGACATGATATTTATGTTAGGACTTCAAAGCGGAGCAGAGCCTGAGGCAGGGATGGCGGGGGCTGGCGGGGTGGGAGGCAGTGGGAGGGTGGCGGCAGAAGCCAGACGAAGGTCAGCTCCGGCCCCTCCCTGGGGAAGGTCTCCTTGGTGACACATACCTCCCGCATGGGACACTGAGACCCAGGGTAGGGACAAACGGGCTATTTTGGTGCAGAGTTCCAAGAAAGGCACTTCCTGTGACCCGGCTCTGCCTCAGTCCCATCCTTTCTTCCTGTCACCCCGCAGGAGGCAGGCTCGGGTCCTCTGAGCATCGTGGGCCTGGCAGGCGGGGCTGGGGGCAGAGCCCAGGGGCTCCACCTCAGCAGGAAAACATCCCCGTGCGGCCGCCTGCCTTCTCAGCTCTGGCAGAAGCCTCTCCTGGCAGGACGGAGGGTCGTTAACCCGGGGCCTGACAGGGCCAAGCGGGCCCAGCCCCTCAGGGCCTTGGGGTCCGCTCGGGCTGAGAGCCCAAGGGGCCAAATGGCCGTGAAGGTCACCCCACCCCTGCCCCCACCCTTGGCCTAACCCCGTCTAAAGACACCCAGCTGCTGGACTAGGAAGGCGTGGGGTCAGGGGCCCAGGCCCGGGCGGGAGCGGCCCATTGTCTCATCCTGGGGCTCTGCTCTGTGTCCTCCGCCCTCCCAGGAGCCAGGCCCTGTGGGCTGTGCTGCCCCTCAGGGAGCCCCTCCCCCAGACTAGGGGCTTGCTCTGGACCCAGGACCCTCTGGTCTGAAGGACCTAGGCCCCAAAGTCCCAGTCCCTGGGCCAGTCCCCACCCCACCCCCCAATCCTCCATCCTCCCCAGGCCCTTCCGGTGAATCACTCGGGCTGGAATCTGATGAGCTCAGGCCTCCCCACCCAGCCTGGCTGCTCCTGCTCCGCCTGGCCAGTGGGGTCGCCACCCCCCACCCCCAACAGGGGTCTTTCCAGCAGCTCCCAGCCCTCGTCAGAGTTCCCCATGGGGCAGGGTGGCTCAGTGGTGGCTGAGATAAGGTCGGGCTGGGAGTGAGGTTAGTCAGAAGGGCTTGGCTATCTTCCGCACGATCAAAAGTATACAAAGTATGTGTGTGTCTCTGAGTCTGTGCCTGCGTGGGTCTTGGTGTCTGTGTCTGAATTTGCACGTGTGTGTCCGTGCCTGTGTGCCGTGTCTGAGCGGGCACCGGGTGTGTCAGGCAGTCCTGCACGGCTAGGTGTGTGTCCGGAGGTTTCTGTGTAGCAGGTCACCACATATCTGTCAGTCTGGCCCTGTGTGTGTGTCAGGGAGTCACATTCTGAACCGCAGAGGAAGTAGCTGAGGGGGTATCTGTGAGTTTGAAGATCCAGGGGTGTTTGTGGATCGGAGGAGGGGCCTGTGTGCCCCTGTGCCCCCACCCCGCAGGGCACAAATGGTGAACCTGTCAGGGTGTTCCCAACACTCTGCGTGTTCCTGTTAAGGTTGGCAGGCAGGGTGTCTGTCACCCACTGCAAATGTGAGTCAGGGTGTTTCTGGCTGTGAACTGGGCCTGGAAGCCAGGGCAGGGTGTTAGGCACTCTGTGTTGAAGGTGGGTCAGGGTGCGGCTGTGGGCTGCCTTCCTGCCCACCCCTCCCCAGTCCGCCCTCGGGCCAGCCCACACGCCCTCCTCTGCTCCTGGGCCTGCCTGACCCTAAAGCCCTGGCCGTAGGCGGCCCCTCCCTCAGCACATCCCGACCTCTGGCGTCAGGATCCCCGTTTGCCGGCCGTCCAGTCCCGGGCCCCACTGCAGGGCTGCTTCCCTCCTGGCATCAGGCTGGGCGTGGCCCTCCGAGTGCCCTGGGTCCCCGGGTGACCCCAGGTGAGAAGGGGACAGGGCTGGAGGCTGGGAACTGTGCGTGCTCGCCGCCTGGCGGTGGCTGTAGAGAATGCACTGCCCACGCCCAGGACTCCGATGACTGTCTCGTCTAGGCAGATGCTTCCCGAATCCGTCACTCCGCAAGTATTCACCGAGTGCCAGTTTCCGCCAGGCATTGTTCTAGGCCCCGAGGGTAGGCGGGAACCGGGACAACCTGGCTGTGGCCTGCTAGCGGGCGGGCCAGACGACAATAAACAGACACCCATGGACCTACGGGGACTGTGGGGGTGATCGGGGCAGCACTGCCCAGGGAGGAAATGACCTGTGCTCCTAAGAGGTCCCAGCGGCTCGCTGGGTTCCAGCGCGGCAGTGGACTCCGGCAAGGCGTGGCGCCTCTCGGAGCCCGGCTTCCTCTTCCAGAGGCCAAAGGTGGGAGGCTGGGGTTCGGGCCGTGCAGTGCCGATTCTGATTACTCCCCAGATCACATCCGTTTCCCTCTGGCCGGGGCTGGGGGTGCTTGGTCCAGACAGACACTCCATGGATTATTGCTGAGTGGATGAGTAAATAGTCCTTCTGTTTGGGCGGATTGTAGAACCAGAAGCTCCACAGACCCTGGTGTTTGAGCCCTGTAACAAGCCCCTTTCCCCGAGCAAGCCTCAGTTTGCTCACCTGTAAAATGGGGATAACGAGATCAGTATTAGACCAGCCTATCGTTGCCTTCCCTGCCTGGAGCCCTAACACCTGTATAATGACCTTGTTTATGCTGATTTACTTGGCCTGGACCTGACCAATCAGAAGATAAAAGACCCAGGCAGCAGGCAGGGCCTGGCAGTGCTCTGCTGAGCCACTGCGGGGATGGGGGGTGGGGGTGGGAGTGGGAGTTCCCAGAGCCAGAAATCAGGACTCCGCAGGGGAAGGGGATGAGAGCAGCGTGCAGTGGCCTCCGAGACAGGGGCCCAGAAGCCTCAGCCAGTCCGTTTCTGCTCCCCATCCAGCCCGGGGTTCTCCGAGTCCCCCCTGCAACCTTCCAGGCCCTTCCTCTCCGACTGAACTTCCCAGACCCAGCCCTCCCTGAACCTCCCAGCTTCCCGCCTCACTGCCCGTCACTGTTATCAAACTCCAGTCAGCGGACAGTGTTTATTGAGCGCCCATGGAGTGTCCCACAAGTGCCAGGCACTGGGGGTGGGCGAGGGGTCGGGAGGGAGGACGGGAGGGAGGACATACAAAAGCCCGAAGGGGAGACTCCCTAACCTGGGAAATGCTGCCGGTGGCCGAGCGGGAAATTCGGGAGCCCGGCACCCGGGCTGCATCTGGTTTGCCTGAAGCCCCGTGTCCGGGACTTCCACCTTCCAGCTGTCACCGGATGAGCAGGTGGGTGTCCCTCAGTGTGCAGCGCCTCCAAGGCTGGCTGGGGTCCTCCTCCAACCAGGGGACAGTTCCTTCCCAGGTCGTGGTCCCGGCGAGGCTGGCCGCATCCAGACCCCTGGCCCCGAGGGAGCCGAGGGCCTGCAGCCCCAGCCCCTGCTGTCCCCCAGCTGCCCGGTGGCTGGCTGGCTGCGAGTGCAAAGCCTGTGACTGCTTATGCTGCTGAGGCCTTGGAGCCACCCTCACCTCTTGGTGTCACCCACTCCGCAGCTTCCTGGGCCACACACACCCCCTGGTGGCTGTTGCCGGCATTTTCTTTGCTCAGATTTGCTGCCTGCTCTGCTGGGCCTTGAGGGTTAATTTATTGGTGGCTTAGAAGGCGAGAGGGTGTAGTTGGAAGCTGATGCCCTGGTTTGGGTGGGGGCACCCTAATGGCCTGCGGTGTGATATCTTCGAACGTGGGTGGGTTAAGTGCAGAGAAAATGGTTTCCGAGCTCCCCCTCCCCCATCCATTTGAAAGCCGTCTCCCTGTCCAAGTCCCCTGGGATGCCAGAGGGCCCGGGAGGACGGCCCATCGGCCCATCGCGGGGAAAGACTGGAACTTGGGAGCTGCTCCAGCGGGACCTGCCCTCTGGGGTCTCCACAGGCTGATAGGAGGACATCAGCCTTGGCAAGTGCAGCGAACGACCCTTGACCCTTGGAGGGGTCGGGGAGCTGACATCCCACCTCCTTCCCTCCCTTTCCCATGGTCTGAGTTTTGCTCTGCAGGAAAACCATCCATCTGGACGCCTGGAAGGTTTCTGGGAGAAGACAGGATGGCACTGCACCCCCACTTTACGGGTGAGGGCACTGCGGTTTGGAGGTACAGGTCTCCAGGTGGCCTGGAGCAGGACCGGCCCGAGCGCCTGGCTGCCTCCTTGAATCATCCAGACACCGGGGGTAGGTGGAGCCTTCACAGCCTTGAAGCCTCCAGCTTGGAGGGGCTGCCGGCCTCCAGCTGGGCAGAAGCGTAAGAGGCAGAGGCCCTTGGTCTGGGGTCCCCCATGCCCCTCAACTTTACTCCAATGCCGCAGATGTAGCCAGTCCAGGCACCCCCCCAGCAGGTATGGTCAGAGATGATTATCAGAGGCACAGATGTAGCCAGTCCAGGCACTCCCCCAGCGGGTATGGTCAGAGATGATTATCAGAGGCGTGGCAGGCTGTGCTGTTCCCAGAGGCTGAGGGAGGCTGCAGCTCCTGTGAGGGCTCAGGGGGAGCGTGAGGGCTCTGAAAGGCCTTCCCAGCAGGCTCAGAGTTTTCGGCCCCAAATGCCCCTCGGGCCACTCCCAGCTACTCCTCTGCTGCCTGGCCCCCCTCAGCCTCCAGTGCACTTGGCTGAGCAGGGCCTCCCCTGACCTGGCTCTCCTCCTGCTTAGCAGTTGTCACAGGGACTGGCTTTGACTTCGATATCCCCATCTCCCTGCCCCCTTTCTCCTCCCTGCCTCCTGCCTCTGGCTCCCCGCTGCCCTCCTCCGTGGCACCCCCAAGTGAGGCCCCCAGTGTCTCGGGCCGCTCTGCCTGGCGGCGGTAGACGAGGTAGCCAGTTGTGGGCAGCCTGTGGGCCAGGGCTCCGGGGGGCAGGCGGTGATAGTCCTGCTCCTTGTACAGGAAGAGGCCGAAAGCGTCAGGCTGGGTCACTCGGAACTTGGTGGCACAGAGCTGGTTCAGGGTGGCAATCGAGGCCCCTGGGGGCACGGCCAGGGTCTTGGAGGTACAGCCACTGCTGGGGTCCTGGTAGGCTACTCGGAGGAGATGCTGTGCAGGAGGAGAAACAAACACAGAAACTCAACCTTGCTTGGTACGCATCTGGCTGCAAAGCTTGAGGTCTCTGCAGAACCAACTGGAAAAAGCTTTTTGGACAAGGTGAGGTCCTGGGGGCCCTGAGGAAGGGGGAGATAGGCTGAGGCTGGTGGGTTACACTGCAGGCTGCAGGGAGGGCCTGACCATCATGCTCAGATTGAGCTAACTCTGTGTCCTGAGCATGTGTCCTGGTTTTAACTCATTTAATCCTCATATCAGTCCCAGGAGGTAGGTACTGTTATCCCATTTTATAGATGAGAAAATTGAGGCTCAAATTAGTTACCTAACTTGCTCAAACTCCCACAACCAGAAAGTAGCAGGGCCCAGATTTGAGCCCAGGATCTGCCTACAGTCTGGACTCTTAACCAAGTCTGAGAAGGGCGGTGAGGATGGTGAAGGGCAGGGATGGTGTCTGGTGAGGGGAGCTTGGGCTGGAAGCTTGAAGTCCAGGGGTGGGCAGAGCCCCAGTTGGGGCTGGAAGCCAGGATTTGAGGCTTCAGCCGCCACCGGTGTCCCATTCCCTTTCCCTGTCACCTCTCAGTTTCCTCATCTGTGAAAAGGGGTAGTGATGGCCCTATTTCTGTGAAGATTCAGGGCTGAGCGCCTAGAGCACTGGGCACAGTGGAACATACTCTCTCCAGAAAGGCTGTCTTGACGTTGTTCTGCGTGGGGTGCTGTTTCTATTGCAGGGGGCGCAGGACCAGCCTTTCCCTACTGGGACTCACAGTTTGGGCGGATGGTATGGAGGCCCTGTTACCTGGAAGCTGTGGGTGGCGGGCAGGCGGCGCTGCTCCCAGAGGCTGAGGGAGCGCTGCAGTTCCTGTGAGGGGCTCAGGGGCAGCTTGTGGGCCTGGCCCAGGCCGCTCAGCAGGGCCAGGCTGGCGGAGAGGCTGGTCAGGTAGTAGCCGCCTGGGACACGGGGAGAATGGAGGATGGGGTTGGGTGACACGTTCCCTCTCCCTGCCCTGCTTGCTCGGGCCATGCAGGCGCTGAGGTGCTCCAGCCCCACCCCGACAGGAAGTGGCATGTGTGTGAGGTCCCTCACCCTCGCCGGTGAGCAGGGTGGGCTCCAGCAGCTCTGACATGTACTCGGCCTCCAGCAGCAGCTCAGGAAGGTCGCAATGGGCCAGGACCAGGCTCAGCAGCGGGAGGAACTCGTCGGCCCCCGCGCCCTCTCCTGTGGGTGGCGGAGAGGGAAGCTTCAGGCTCCTCTGAGGCCCCGCGGTCAGAGTCCCCTCCTTGTCTTAGACAGTGACCCTCCCCTCCGCCTGCCAGGCCTTGGGCAATGTGGTCTCTATGGCAACCACAAGCAGGGGCTGGGAGAGGATGCTCCACAATCTGGGCCTCAGTTAGACCACCTGTGAGATGGGAGGGTTGGACCCATCTTCCCCCAGCTGTGCCTTTCCTGGAATGTGCCTGGAGGGGCCTGCCTCTGACAGCAAGGAGCCAGTGGGGGAGGGGGTGTACCCAGGTGGGTCCTCAGGACCGTGTAGAGCAGCTTGCAGGCCTGCAGGAGCCGCTTGACCTGGGCGTTGGGTGAGTAGGTGCGGAGTAACTGCAGCAGCTTCTGGCGCACCTGCTCCGTCTCCACCGGGGAGGGCAGGCTCAGGCGGGACCCGAAGGCTGCAGGGCCCTGGGCCCGGGCCAGGCGGAAGCCTTCAGCCAGGTGGCCCAGGGAGCCATCGGCCGAAAGCCTGCGCCGCAGTCGGGCCACCAGGATGGGCCGGAGAGGCTTGAGCACCGAGCGATGCAGGGACTTCTCCAGGACGCGTTCTGTGGAGCAGAGGCAGGCGAGGGGTCAGGGGAGCCAGGGCTGGGTGGGGGCAGAGTCCAGCGAGACAGGGATGAAGAGGAGGAGGGATCTTGTGAGACAGGAGAGGGGGGGGAGGAGAGAAGTGGGGAATGAAATGCACGTGAAGGGGTGAGCCAGGCGGCACTGCGGAGGGGAGAGAGTGGCATGGGTAAGAGCTGAGATTATGGAGAGACGGGGCTGAGCCAGCGAAAGCTGGGGCTGGAGTCTCACCCAGTCTATTAGGCGGCAGCAGCTTCTCAGGGCCCAGCTCGGCGCTCAGCATGGCCTGGGCCCTGCTCAGCGCCTCACGGATGCCCTGCAGCTCCTGGGGCTCCGGGCCGGCCCGCACCTGGGTCAGTAGGTCCTGGACCAGCTGGCCCACAGCTGTGTGGCGGTCCTGCATCAGCGCCGAGGCCGCCCGGTCCACCTGCCGCTCGGGTGCCAGCAGAGAGCAGAAGGCAGAGCTCATGGACCGAAGCAAAGGCCGCCTGCGGTTCCTGAGACTCAGGCGGGGTGAGGTTGCTGGACTCCCCTGATGCCCCTGCATCCCCTCCTCCTCCTCGGAGCTGCTGGGGGAGCCACAGTCCACCTCCTGGAGGGAGGGCAGGGGAGGGAGGCTGGGGCTGGCTCCCCCGGGCACACGGTACCCCGCTGAGCTCTCCCTCCTCAGCAGCTGTCGAGGGGGCATCCTTTCTGTCTGGCTGGGGGCTGCCCCTGGCGGCACTGGCACCGGGGGAGGTGGCACAGCGGGTGGAGACAGGGGGCTGGAGGTCTCTGTGGATACCCGCACTTTGAAACTCCTCTTGAATTTCTCCCGCTTGGTGGGGCCCAGATCCCCTGGGAACAGGGGGTTGAAGAAGCACAGGGCGGCCCCGGTGCCCTGGTCCAGCTCTTGTGGGGACCGGGGCTTCAGCCGGGGCAGCAGCGGGCCTTCGGAGGGGCCTGGCTGAGCCTTGGTGTTGAGGGAGGAGCTCCAGAACTCTAGAGAAGAGAAACCAACTGGGGTCTCAGGGAGAGGAAGGGGATGTGCCCGGAGGAGGGCAAGGTGCAGGCTCAGGCTGTGTGCCCACCTGCCTTCCCTTTCCCCTCGGCCTCAGTTTGTCCACCTATGCAATGGGCAGCAGGGGAGCCCTTACCGACGCCTAAATGGGAGATGGCTTCCAGCTCCTTGTGGGTGGCTGCCTGTCGGATGGCTCTAGGGAGCTGGAGCTGGAGCAGCAGGATGTCCCTGGGGCCAGAGAGGGGGCAGGTAAGTGAGGGCTGCTTGGGGCTGAAGGGGTGGGAGGACAGGGTGGCCCACGGACACCAGCACCCGAGGGCAGGCTCACCGGGCGTGGCAGTAGGCGCAGATGAGCTGGACGAGGTCCGGGAAGACGAGCTCAGATCCCTCCAACGAGATGCCTGAGAGATGGGAAGCGAGGCTGTTCTCCGGAATCGCCCGGCCCAGCCTCTGCTTCCAGCCCCGTCCCTCCAGGCCAGTCCCTCTCACCCGCAGGCCTCTCCTGGATGTAGTGGCTGGACACGAAGGAAGGGCCACTGGCCTCAGGCAGCCTGACGCACAGAGCTTGGCACTGGCGAGTGTTGGATTTCCGCACCAGGAATGTCTGAGAAGGGATGGGTTGGAGGCTCAGGACCTTCGTGTCCTGCTCCTCTCCCTCCCACCCTCCGCCGGCCAGTCTCTGGGGGCAGGGGCAAGACTCACCCCCGGGGGCTGGGTCCTCAGCACGTGCAGCGCGGCGGCTGCGTTGGCCCGCAGCTGCAGCCACACGGGCCGCGTGAGCAACAGGCGCTCCCGCAGGCTCACAGTGCGCCCTGGCCGCTGGGGCCCACCTGTCCGCCCCCCGCTGGCATCGGGCACGTCGTACATGGGGTCCTGGGCTGGCCTGGAGGCAGGCACCAGATCTGAGCAGGCGGCCAGCGGCCGGGCCCCTTGCCCAGCCCTTTCCCCCTCCTCTGCCCTGGGACAGACGGGCTCCGCAGTCCCTCCCTGCCCCTCCAGGCTGCCCCTCCAACTTCACCAACTTTTCTCTCTCCAGGTGCCCAGGCGCGGAGGCGTTCGAAGGGCTGGGGGCTCCGAGAGGCCCTGCTCCTGGCTCCCCAGGGGTGTCCATGGCGGGAGCTCCTTGGGTACTTCTGGGACTCAGGAAGACAGTCCAGCCCCCAAGGCAGGAGCATTCCCGCTGGTGAGTAACACTTCCTGAGGGCGGTGCGCCCTGTCACGCCCGCCAGTTAACTCTTCGGTGTCCACTCGGCCTGGGCAGCGCCACTTCCTGTGTTCCGGGCCCAGTCTTGGGGGACAGGGATCCTTCCCATGGAAGTGCCACTCTGAGGGCCCCAGCTGCAGGGCTGCCGCCTCTGTACAGAGCTTCCCGAAGCAGCTGCCTCAGACCACGGGTGGGAAAGGAGGGGTTAAGTAGGGCCTGTCTCCTCCCTCTCGGCCCAAGCCTCCTGCCCTTGGGACGCCTTTAAAGTCTGTGCTCAGTTGCTCCACTGTCCACCTTGGGGTCAACCTTGTGAAAGAGCGCCTCCTACTGGTCACAGATGACTCATTCCTGAGCCTTACTGGGGTTTTGGGATTTCAGGTTGCCATGGAGAAAGGATGCCTGTCTCCATGGAAACAAACCCCTTTGCTTAACTGAGGTTCTGGGGGTGGTTCTAATAATCAGCACTAAACAGGGAGTCTGGCTGTGAGGCGTCAGCACATGGCACTGCTGCCGGCTGCCTCCCACGCACAGGCCTTGCCAATCTGCCAGGCGATGGGCAGGTGCAGACATGACCCAGCCTCCCAGCACAGAGCACTCAGCCCCTTCCCCATCTGAGGCCACGTGTTCCGCCTGGGCCACATGCTGCTTCAGACTCTGTCACCAGCACCAGGCAGTCCAGGGCCCAGCCCCCCACCCAGTCCCCCTTTTCCGCAGTCTACACCCCAAGTCAGAGTGGGTAGGCTCCTGCTGGGTAGTGAGAGGCACCAGGGACCCCAGAAGAGACTGCCTGTTTGAGACACTCCTCATGGGAGCCCCGACTGCCTCGCAAGGTAAATCAGACACACGTTGGGTCACAGCAGAGACCCAGGAAATGCTTTAATTCCCGTCCCCGCAGTGTGGGAGGCAGGCACCAAGGACTGCCTTGAGAAGACCTGGGGAGCCCGCCTTCTCAGCACGGCAAGAGCCAGGACAGCCCCCCCACCCCCAACAGAACTTCTGGTTCAGAGTTCCCACGAAGTGGGCCAACACGCTGGCTCAGTGAGTGGGGATCCAGGTCCAAGGTCAGCAGGAGGATGTGCTTTGGCCTAAGACGAGGCAGGTCTTCTTTGTCAGGGAGGGACCTAGGGGCCGAAGGCAGGGGAAGGGAGGGGCTGTTGGGGATAGGGACTCAGTCTTGCCCGGCTAGGACAGCTTGGGCCACAGCTGTACAAGCCCTGAGCAGGAGCAGGAGAATCAGACCAGTGAGGGCTGAGGGGAGTGCGCAGAGCAGCACTGGAGAGCCGGCTGGAAAGACCCCGAGGGCTTGTCCGTTTGCCTGGCTGCAGTAGGAAAACGTCAGTCCGGGTTTTGGTGCCTGTTGCTCCGAGGGGCCCCGCTGGCTGTGAGTCACAGGGTCAGGGTCCTGGGGGATGTGGGAAGGGAGACATCACTGCAGGTGAGAGAAGCCAACAAGAGGGAGTCGCCACTTGTCTGCGGAAATGAGAGGAACGGCCCTGGTCCGCCCCTCACCTGTGGGCCCCTCGGTACCGGTGGGAACTCCGTGTCCTGCCCCATCAGCTTAGAGCTTCGCCTTCCCACCCCCACCCGGGCTCCTGCTCCCAAACTCCCAGTGCCCTCAAGCCCAGACTGTCCCAACTCTTGGCCACGGATCTGACACGGCCACTGCCGCTCCCTGGGCTCCTCTCTGGAGGCTGGGCTGGGGGAAGGGGTGGAGGTGGGAAGCCCTGTGGCTCTTACCGTCTGATTTTCTCTTCTGAGGGGACACAGCCGCCCTAGCCTGGGGTGGAGAGAAGAAAAGCCCCCTGAGAGCCTGCCTCTGGCTTGGCAAGTCCCCTCCCCATCAGGCTCTCTGGGGCGGGGGCTGTTGGGCCAGTACCGCTGGGAGTTGGGGGTGGGGAGGGCATGGGAAGCATAAGACACTTTCTAGACAAAGCTCTGATGTGACCCCCGTCAGAGGCCTGGCCAGCCCAGCTGCTCTCCCACCTTCCCTTTCTCCCATCAAAACCTGCCCTGGAACAAGAAAGAGGCCAACAAGACTAGAAGCTCCCTCCTCCAGGGCAGCCCTGGGCAAAAGGAGGCACGTGAGCTGGCAGTGATGCCAGGGAACCCCAGAAAGGCTAGGGTGGGAGCTGCAGAGCAGACCTGGCGTCTGGGGTAGGGCCCTGCACGAGACCCACCTTTTTGATAGCCGTCCAGTCCTCCAGGATGTCGATCTCCTGCAGCATGTACACGATGTAAGGGCCTGCAACAGGGTCAAGGAAGCAATGCCCGAGGAGGGGCAGGAGGCCTCGGCCGCGTGCGAACGCTTGGGAGAGGTAGTGCTAAGGGCACGGGATAGAGAGCGGGCTCCACCTCTACCTCCTCTTAGGGGGGCGGGGTGTGTGTGGCTATGGCCTATTTCAACGAGTCCAAGAGGGCGGGGGTGGGCCCCAAGCCTCACCCCTACTTCCCCTACCTTGGCTCCCACTCATGCCCTCTCCCCAGCTTCAAGGTCAGTAGGCCAAGGCCCATCCACCACTCAGGGACCTTGCTCCTTCTATTCCTGGTCCCCCCGTGGCCCCTTTCCCCATCTACACACAGAACCCATTCTGAAAACACTCAGGTTTCCCAGGCCCCCTGGGGTCCGTCCACTCTGTCCTCCCATAATCTGTACCCGATGTCCCCACGCCCTCAAGTCCGTGCAGTCCAGGCTCCTCCCTCCCTTCCTTCCTGAACCTGATTCCTAAGCCAGGCGGCCGGTGCCCTTAGACTGGTTACTGCAGGAATCAGGGCAGGGGGTGGGGAGCAGGGGTGCGAATTCAGTTCATCTCTGTGCTGGGCTATGCCAGAGGGATCAAGGCTAAGGTGGGGCAGAGGCAAGGGTCCCACAGGGAGGCAGGAGAGAAGCCATGGCTGTTGGGGGAAGACCAGGCAAGGTGTGTGAGCAGGCTCCCTTCTGAGGCTCCCGGCATCGCTGCCAGCTCACACGCCGCCTTTGCCCGCTCAGGCCCTGCAGGTGGAAGGATACCAGAAACGAGGGGTGCCTTCTTCCTCTTGCTGGGCGGCAGGGAGTCCCAGGTCCTCGAGCTGCCTCTGGTGTGCAGTTTGTCATCCCACCACTCTGTGACCCAGACCCAGAGTCAGGATCGTGGTGCTGGCCCTCCCAGGACACCCCCACCCCCGTAGCCTGCCCTTCCCCATCAACCACCTCCCAGGACAGGGGAGAGAACCCTGGGCTTGGGGGTTAGAAGCTGAGTTCAGGTCCCAACTGCACAGAAGTACAACCTGGGAAAGAGGTCACTGCACAGCTATGGGGCTGTTTCTTCATCTGTTTAGTGGACAGTGGGATGAGGACAACCCCTGCCTCCCCAGAGCCCCGTATGATGCAGGCACTATGGACATGGCGGGGACTGTGGCTACTTATGTGTGGGAGTGTCAGAATGTCACCTCCCATTCTGGAAAGAGAGCAAGGGCAGAGGAGAGCAGGGGGACCCACTCTTCCTGAACCCCCACTGTGTGCCCGGCACGGGGCCAGGCCCTCCATGCCTGGCGTCATTCAGGCTCCACAAACACCCCTCTTCCTATCCCCTGGAGCAGGCGGGGAAGCTCAGGTCCGGGCAGGAGTGGGCACTGACAGAGCCGGGCCGGGGGCAGGGTGCTCAGGGCCGGCCCCTTGCCTCACCCGAGCTGATGTCCAGGCTCTGGCGGTCCTCCTCCAGCCTCTGGATCCGCTCCTGCAGCTCCCCCTGCAGCGTGTCATACAGCAGCAGCTTCTCACTCTGGAAGAGGCGGGAGCAGCTCAGTCAGGAGGGACAGGTGGGCACTTACATCCTCCTCCCTTGGCGCCCATCAGTCACCTCCAGGTGCTGCTTAGCTCCCTGCAGCTCACACTCATACTTATTCCTGATCACGTCCAGACAGAAGCCCTTGTAGATCCCTGCAGAGGGAGGGAGGGGTTTGAGAGGCCCCGCTTGGCCAGGGACTCCAGTGCCCCAAAAGGGGTGCTGGGAACATGGGCAGGACAGGGATGAGAGAGGAGGGGACCATGGGTGGGTAGGGGAACAGGGAGGGAGACTGGGGGCCACTCCAGGGCACAGGGCAGCCCACAGACCTGCCACCTGAATGCGAATCTTGAGGCTCCGCTGCAGCCCCCCCAGGGGCTCTGTGTATTCGGGCGCTCTCTCAGCCCCCACTTCCTCCAGCCGCACCTGCAGCTGACTCAGTCGTTCCCTGAACAACCTGGGAGGAAACATGTGCTCGTCCGTCAAACACATACGGAGTACCTGGCCCACGACAGGTACTCACCTTGGCCTCGGCCCCCTCTGCCCAGCACCGGGCCCGCCTCACCCCAAGTGCCTGGAGACCCAGCCCCAGGTGTCCCCGCTCACTTCTCCTTTAGCTCCGAGAACTGCTTCTCCAGGTCCAGCATCTCACTGACGCACTCGCTGCGGCGCCGCTCGTAGTCCTCATCGTCCATCTCTGGGACAAGAGGGCAGTCAAGGTCGGCTGCGGAGGGGGCAGGCGTGTGTGCGTGTGCATGTGTGCGTGTGTGTGCGTGTCACCTGAGCTCTCCTCCTCGGACTCGGTCTGGCTGCCACTTCGTTCCTCCTCACTCTCTTCCTCCTCTCCGTTCATCTCGGCAGCTGAATCACCCTCTGCTTCCATCTCTTCTGTGTCTTTGCTTGAAGGCTGGAGCGGCATCTGGGCTCTGGGAGGAAGGGTAGAGCCATCACTCACCACCACCCACAGCTCCAAGCAGGTAAGCAGCCACTCAGGGAGTCAAGCAAAGCCTGGCCGCAGCTGGGGCAGCTGGGAAGTGACTGGACGCGCCACAACCTGAGCTCACACTGGGTGGAGAAGCTGCACGAGGCCCGGTCTGCACGTCTCCATCGATGGGAAAGGCCAAGGGTGGGCTCCCCACTGCCTATGGGACTCGGCCTTTCAAGGCCCTGCACCGACTAGACTTGAACTACTGGTCCAGCTCCTTCACCCCACCATCTAACGGCCAATCTCAAATACACCAGGCACTTCTTTCCTCCCCCACCCGCCTCGTGCCGTTCCTTCTCGTCTCTTCCTGAGAACATGCTGCAACCTCTCGTCTTCTCACTGTGCCCTGGGTCCAATCCCATCTCCTGCTTCCTCTGGGACTTCATGTCCGCAGCACTCCCTCCTGACAGCTCCTGCCCATGGAACTCTGGACATGTTCAGGTATTCCCTACCATTTAGGAAAAGCAGGGACGCACAACCTCACCTGATCCCATTAGCTGCTCCACATATTCCCCTCACAGCTACACCTTTCAAGTCCTGCACGCTTGCTCTTCCTACTTTCACCTCCCACTTGTCCCGATTGGTTTCTGTATCATCGCTGTCAGCTGGAACGAATTCTGCAGAGTTAACTCACGATCTCCTTGTGACTAACGCCAATATTTTTGATGCTTATCATAATTGCCTTCTCAGCAACACCGAATACTGTTATGCGTTCCTTCTTATATTCACTCATCTAATACTTATTGAAACCCTAATATATGCTAGTACCATGGGACACTCAGGTAGGTACTGGGCACAACTGTGATAGACAGACAGTCTCTGACCTCGAGCTGTTTACAAGTTCCTGGGAGAAAAGGGCAAGGAAGCAGACCATTCCTGTGATGTGAGAAGAGCTGCGAGCAGGGGCACATGGGAGAGGCATCTAACTGGGGCCTGGAGTTGCTGCAGCATGAGGGCTTGCAGACGAAGACGGGCCAGACCGATGAGCTGATCTGGCCGAGGGAGGGAACATTCCAAGTAGAGCAGCATGTGCAAAGGCCTCAAAATGAGAGCAGGGACAGGGTGGGGGCACCGGGATCTAAGCCTCAGAAAGGAATCTGGGCAATGTTATCTAGTGAGTTCTTCAGACCCTGTGAGGGTGCAAGCAGAAAGGCGGGATGTGTGGCGTGAGAAGACATTCATGATGGAACTCAGGGTCGCCAAAGGGCAAGAGGGTGAGAACCCTGCAAAGGAAAAGGACATTACCAAGAGGTGGAGGAGGGAAAACTCAAAGTCATGAAGAGAATTTTAGAGGGAAGGAGAGGTGACAGTGCCAAATGCTGCCCAGAGGTCACCTAATCAGAAGACCAACTAGGCCTCTCAACAGATCATCTCTCTGCAACTAGGGGTTCTGTTTCACTGCAAAGTTCTTCCCACTTCTCTGGACACTGGTTTGCAGCCAGGAAGCCTCGTTGCTGACATTTCCTCTCTATTTGCCCATCTCATGTCTGTCTCCACAACCAGACGCCGAGCCTCAGCAGGCATGGCTGCACAGGCCCTTATTCACCCCGCACAGTACTGACTCACCTGAGGACTGGAGGGTGTGCAAATACAAACTCAACTTTTGTGAGGCAGGAGTTGGCTTTCACTCTTGGTAGCCCCCAGGCCCACGTAGTGGTAGCAAACCCACAGTGTTCGGCTAACCTTCCTTGACAGCATTCCGAGTTTTGTAAAAGAACTGGACTCGAGGAGAGGTTAGTCACATTCCTCAGTGATTTCACAAATAATCTGAACCTGACCTGAAAATCTCGGTTCTCCAAACCAGTCTCATCCTTTACATTCTCAAGCCTCGGTTCCAGCAGTTCCCAAACGTTGCAATTCCCCTTCACTGTTAAACATATTTACTTGGTAAAACGCAACGTAATCCGGACCAGAAAGAGCGGGAGCAGGGGGTGGGGTGGGGAGTGTCGTTTACGCCAGGTGCCTCTTATTCTAACTGATGAGCTCAATTGGACCACAACCTCCTTCCTTACCCCAGGTGCAAAGAGAGAGTAGCCATTGCTACTCGGAGCTTGTAAAGATCGCTGGGGTAAGGGATGGCAGGCGTTGTGCACATGCAAATGATCTTTTCAGAAAGTGAGCGTCTCCAAGGCGGCCTCCAGGGTCCCCCCCACTGGAAGGGGACGACTCAGCCCCTCGCGGCGCGCCCGGAGCCTCCCGCCCCGCTCCAGCCGCCCCAGTACGCGCGGCACGGGCAGGGGATCCCTGGCTCTTCCGCGGCCAGCTTGGGGCCCGCGGCCCCGCACGCGTCCGGCCCGTTAGGTCTCCGCTTTGGCCCTGGAGATGGGGCGGGCTCCGACCGACTCGCTGGAGAGACCGAACCGGGCGCCACGGGTGGCGTTACGCACCGCAGGGAGTGGAGCCTCCGGCCTCAAGTCCGAGACTCTCCGACAGGTGCCCGGTGCCCGCTGCTGCGGGTGCTGGCCGCCGCCACCCGGCTCCCGGAACCGCAGCGCTGGTCTCTCTTTACTGGGAGGCGGGGCCTGTCCGCGCTTCCGTATTCGTCATCAAGAGGTGCCCGTTGGGAAGCTCCCAATTGGACAGCTGGGGCGAGGCATGCTGGGATACCGCGCTCTGGTTTCCATAGCAACCAGCCGACATTCACCCTGGCCGTCTGCGTGTGGAAGAAACCCTGGCGGCTTCCTTGCTTTACAGGTGGTGCCCCTGGGTCCGCGGTCACCTTCCTCCAACCCCCCGCGGCGTGAAAGAGGAGAACCCGCGCCCCCTCCGCCTGCCCGGTTCAGGAGAGAAACGGAGCCAACTGTAGTTGTGAACACGCATTTATTTACATTGTCATTGGTAGGCAAACAACCCAGCTCAGTCTAGTCTAGGGTACAGGACTCGCAGACCCTTCCCTTCTCCAGAACTCCCGAGGCCTGGGAGAACCAGTAAGTTTAGGCTTCAGCCCCAAAGCTGCGAACTAAATTCAAAGCCTTTATCTGATTTCTTTACAAAAAGCCCATTTTGTTAAGAACTCAGACCTCTCCCTCTGCACCATTCATACTTTTCACTCTCCTACTGCCTACCCACGCAAGATCGTTAATAATAACAATAACAAAGACAATAATACTGTAATAATATTAATAACACTTCACATTTTTACGAAGCTTACAGAGTGTTTTCACATATAGCATCTCATCTGAGCCTCCCAACAGTTCTGTGAGGTAGATATTCTCACCTCCCTTTTTACAGACGGCATAGCTGAGGCTCAGAGAGGGAATAGGATTTGCTCAAGGCCACACAGCTAGTTAGTGGTAAAGCTAGGACTTGATCCCAGCACCCCATATTCAAAGTCCAGTGTTCCAACACCACAGCTCCCATTGTCGAGTGGAGTGACATTTCTTACCCCTACCAGGCGTGAGGGGCAGCCTCAGGAGAGAGGAGGCTGAGGCTTCTCAAACTAGGGCAGGGAAGGACTCAGCAGTGACGGGTGGAGTCGGGGTACTTGGCCTTCAACTCCTGTTTGAACTGGCGGTAGAGAATCTTATTGTGCTGATTTTCAGCTTCCTTTTGGGGGTGGAAATCCAAGGTGTCTTTGAAGCCCTTATGAATCAGGAAACCTTCGTTCAGCACCTCGAAATCAAATCCTGCCACGTGCAGCTCACAGGCCTGTAGGGGGAGAGAGAGGTCAGCAAAGCCTGATGATTATTCTAGGGCCAAGACTGACATCCTAAAGCCGACTCCAGCATCCCCACTCCTCCGGGGCACCCTGGATCCCCCACAACCTCCACTGAACTGTCATTTCTCCTGCCTCAATGCCCACTTCCCATCCTGGGCCACTCATGGCTCCCAGACCCCAGCACCCCTCCTGCCCCATTTCCCCTGCCCTCTCCCTTATAGGCACCTGGCTGATGCGATTGAAGCCGTACTGCCGAAAGCGTTCGTCGAAGGCGGGAACCTTGCCTCCAGCCACGTAGAATGGCTCCCAGGGGTCCTGCCAAGGCACCACGTAGGCAGGCCTCAGCAAGGTCTCGTCAGGAAGGTTGAGCCAGCGGGAGTAGTTGGTGGGCGCCTGGCAGGGCGTGCACAGCCCATAATAGAACGGCTGCACCTCGTCCACCTGGTAGAGCTTCAGCAGCTCGTTCTTATTTGCGGGTATGCGGCGGGCTCGGCGGATCTCAAAGGCAGGCACCACGAGCGCTGTCCCTGCCCACTGCTTGCTCTGACCCAGCATTTCCCGCAGGCCTCTCCACAGTCCCTCGCTGGGCACCATGTCCACATCGATCACCAGGGCATAGTTGGCCCCCTCACGAGCCAGATTCCTCAGCAGGTTATTGGGGTAGGAGACGTTGGTACCTAGTGCGTAATTGACCCCGGGCTGGGCCACTCTGGCTAGCTTGTCGAAGACCTGCTGGCAGGACCGCAGCAGGGCAAACTCCCCCGGCTCCCGGGGGTCGGGCACAGCGGCCTCATAGCGCGAGGGGCACACCAGGTGCATGGCAACTCTGGCGCGAATATCCGGGCAGTGGCTGCTCAGCGCGTAGGTCAGCACCGTGGCCAGCTGCGCCTCCTCCTTGGTGGCGGCGAACACCGACACGGATAGCGGGCCCTCCCAGCGCTCCAACAGGCCCGACAGATGCGGCAGGTTGTCCACGCTGGCGTGCGTGGCCAGGACCACATCATCGGGGTCCATGGTGGTCTTCAGTAGGCCCCTGTAGACGCGGTAGTCGCCGCTGGTGTCCAGGACGCCTCCGGAGGCCAGCGCGGCGCGGAGCTGCGCCTTGACCTGGTCCACAGACCGCGGGGACGGGGGGAAGAACTCCAAATACTGCTCTTGCTCCTCCTGTCCGTGGAGCCCGGACAGCAGCGACAGGTAGAGTAGCTGCAGCATCGCCACCAGCATCAGCGCGGCCAGCAACAGCTGGTAGAAGGCGCACCGGATGGCGTAGGACATCTGCATGGCTCTCGGGGCTCGTGGCGCACAGCAGGGACCACCGGACCACAGCCTCGCCAACCGCCGCAAGCCCGGATTTACCGCAGCCTGCCGAGCGCAGCCGAGGCGAGCCGAGCCGAGCCGAGCTCCGGGCACAGCCCCTCCCGCCCGCTCGGGCCCCCGGGAGTGCCAGGGCGCCCCCTGCACGCCTGGAGGAGCGACTGCACTCGCCGCCCGCGCCGCGCGCTTTGCAAACGCTGGCTCTGCCCGAGGCGGCACCGCTGGGTTCCCAGAAACAAGCACCCACTCCCTCCGGGTCAGTCCGTGATCCCCGCCCCCCGGACCGACCGCGTCCCGAAACCTTGACGCGCTCGCCCCGGGCTCAGGGAGGGAAACCGCGGCAGAGCTCAGCTGCAGCTGGGTGACGGATGGTGCGGGTTCGCGGCTGCGGCGGGAGGAAAGGAACACGCACAAACCCTTTCTTTCTGCGGTTTCTCCCTCCAGGAGATCCTACCAGGGCTGCGCTGAACAGTGGGTGTAGGAGGGGCTCAGATGGTGCGGAGGAGATAAGGGAATTTAGAAAGGGAGGCTTACGCGTGGGACGAGGTGGCCGAGTGGTTAAGGCGATGGACTGCTAATCCATTGTGCTTTGCACGCGTGGGTTCGAATCCCATCCTCGTCGGTCGCGTTTTACACAGGAGATGGCTCTTTATTTTCTATATCCCGCGGGTCTGGAGCACCACGCTGGGGACAATGGGATCCAGCCAGAGCCCCAGTTCACCGTGCGTCTCCTCCCGCTTCAGGCTCTTCCTATACCCTGTATCGGACCCTCTGGGCGGCGTTAGAGGAGTACTTTTCTTTCTCCTTAGGCAGCGGTTCTCAACCTGTGGATCGCGACCCCTTTGGGGGTCGAACGACCCTTTCACAGGGGTCGCCTAAGACCATCGGAAAACACATATTGAATATATAATTACATATTGTTCTTGTGATTAATCACTATGCTTTAATTATGTTCAATTTGTAACAATGAAAATACATCCTGCATATAAGATATTTACATGATGATTCATAACAGTAGCAAAATTACAGTTATGAAGTAGCAACGAAAATAATTTTATGGTTGGGGGTCACCACAACATGAGGAACTGTATGAAAGGGTTGCAGCCTTAGGAAGGTTGAGAACCACTGCCTTAGAAGGCCCGGGGCTCAGTGGCACCTTGAAGACCAGAACCAAAATTCTGGCCAAATGCCAAATTAGTGGCCTGTTTATTAATCAGAGAAGCACCTCCTAAAATCACCCTTTCCCTGACTACAGTAGTGGAATTCACGCGGGGGTGGTGGTGGTGGGGGTGGTGGTGGTATTTGATCCTTAATTACTACTCTATTCAGCCCAGTGATTTTCCTCCCCACACAACCCTCCCACGAGGGAGACCTTGTATCCACACACCTTCTTCCTGAACACACACACACACACACACACACACACGCACACACACGCAGAAGGTCTTGAGTATTCTAACACCAGCCTTATACAAAGGTGGTTAGTGAGTGTTTGTGAATAGTTGAACCGTGGGTTCTTTAGAAGAGGAGAGTCTGGGGGGAAGGGCAGGTACTTGGACTGATACATCAATTATAGGTAATAACTATTTGGCGCTGTGAATCTTGGGAAGGTGCTCTGGGACAGGGCACGGCGTTTCTCCACTGCTCCACAGGCAGTGGGAGTCAAGGTTGTTGAGCTGAAAAGTGGCCAGGAGCCCTGTATTCCACAGCCCCAGCAATAACACCTCTGGAGCTGCTCAGCCCAGGAACTGTGTCCGGCACCAGGAAGGAGGCCTCGCAGGGGACAGGCATGTTCCTGAAGGTGTTCGTTGGTGACCTGTGCCAGAGGAGAAAATGGTGCGAAGGCCTCAGAAACTGGAGGCACAGAAGCCAGATCTGATGCCATTTGGGCTTTCTTCGACCTGCTCAGTGTTAAAAACAACAACAACACCACAATTTACATTAGTTGTTAACTTTGGTGAATCAGGAGATTGGACATAAAACCCACATTTCCAGCTTCTGTTTTGAATTCTGGAAGATCTGGCAATACCAGGCTTCGTTCCCTCAGGGTGACAACTGGCCAGAGTGTAAGAGTGACTCCCCCTTTGCAAACAGTCTTTTCTTTGCCAAAGTCTCAACCCTGCACCTTCCTGCCCACTCGGCCCTTTGAGCATTTGTGTTTCATCTACGGTACTCATCCAACACCTATTTTCTGCCTCAATTGGCGGGGCATCTGCCCACAATACCCGCCCTCACCCACGGCAATGCTAGCCCACAGCGGGCACCAATTCTCGTTTTTTGAACCAGTAAATCAGAGGCTTCTGAAGTGTCCCAGGGGCTCTAGTCTAAGGGGGACTGAAAAGTAGTGACTGGGCTTGGCCATTATCAAGGAAAGCCACGTGGAAGGGGCCGGAGGAAGGCCAAAAGCCCCTATTGTGGGGCCTGGCCAGGGTCAGGGGCTGGCTGTGATGGAGGGGGCGTGAGACATTCGAAGAGCAGTTAAAAACCATTACCAAGAGGTCTGCTTCCCACAGACCTTGCCCTCTGCAGCTCTCCCATCTGGCTGGTCCTGACTTCTAGCTTTTATAATAAATCTGTAATCCAGCAAGAATATGTTTCTCTGAGTGCTGTGAGCTGCTCTAGCAAATTAATTGAACCCCAGGGCAGGGGTGCTGGAGTCTGACGTATAGCCAGTTGGTCAGAAGTACAGGTTACAACCTGGACTTGCCATTGGCATCTGCAGTGGGGCAGTCTCACGGGACTGAGTCCTTAACTTGTGGAATCTGATGCTCTCCCCAGTGGATGGAGTTACATGGTAGGACACTCAGCGTGTGTCAGAGTATGGCCTGGTGAGAGAGGAAAACCCACTCATCAGCCCTAGCTGGTTTGGTTCAGTGGATAGAGTGTTGGCCTGCGGACTGAAGGGTCCCAGGTTCGATTCTAGTCAAGGAAACATGCCTGGGGTTGCAGGCTTGATCCCCAGTAGGGGGCATGTAGGAGGCTGGCCAATCAATGATTCTCTCACATCACTGATGTTTCTATTTCTCTCTCTCCCTTCCTCTCTAAAATCAATAAAAAAGTATTTTAAAAAATAAAGGATATATAACACAGTGTACAAATAATAAAATATACAATATTCTTTAAAAAAAGAAAAAACAATGTGTAGAAATACTACTGTATTTGATCTTGAATCCTGAAACTTTACTAAATTCACTTATTACCTCTAATAGTTGTGTGTGTGTGTGTGTGTGTGTGTGTGTATTCTTTAGGATTTTCTGTATATGTATATATTATATCATCTGTGAATCTGGGTAGTTTTACTTCTTCTTTCTTGCCAAATTGCTCAGGCTAGAACTTCCAGTACAAAGGTGAAGAGATGAAATGGTAAAAGTGGGGATCCTCTTCTTGTTCCTGACCTTGGGGGGAAGGCTTTCAGTCCTTCACATCGAGTATGACATTAGCGATGGATTTTCCATAAATGCCCTTTATCAGGTTGAGGAAGTTCCCATCTATTCCTCGTTGGTTGGGGGTTTTCATCTTGAAGTGTTGGATTTTGTCAGATGCTTTTTCTGCATCAATTGAGATGATCATGTGGTTTCCCCCTTCATTCTATTCAGGTGCCGTGTGGTGTTTACACTGATGTGTTTCTGTATGTTGAACCACCTTGCATTCTGAAAGGCCTGGCTTTGGTTTTAGAACTCTTAACAGGCACTTAACCTCTAAGTTAAGCAGCCTCTGTAGAGGCAAATGCCCTCTTCTCTCCTGTATCCCTCCTCCTCTCTCTACTCCCATTTAGTCCTCATTGCTAAGGTTCTTTATCATTTGTCCCCAACCCACTGCTCCAGCCTCAACCTCTCTTTTCCCTCCCTCACATCCTAGGGGCTTCCTCACCCCACCCCCTGCCAGAAGTCCCCACTGTTCCCTGAATATTCCATGTCCATGCCTTCCACACCCTCTGGTACCTCTGCCCGGGGTGCCCTTCCCCCACTCCAGCCCAGCAAACTCATATTCATCCCTCAAGACCCAGCTGGGGGAATGCTTCCTTTGGGATGCCTGCCCTGGCTTCCCAGAAGGCCCAGGGCCTTCACAAACCCCAGGACAAGTTGCATTGTCTCCTATGGCCTTGGGAACATGGACCACGCCTTCTTTGTTTCAGGGTCACCAGACCAGCCAGGGCCTGGCACCATGGTTGTGGTCAAAAGAATGAATCCTCACTGGGGATCTTCCTGTGGCTTGTATGTCAGCTGTCAAGGCCATATATTGCTTCACTTTCCTCTTTGATATCAAAACCGCCTCTGGCTTCTGAGCAGGGGGCCTGGCTCAGCTCCCGGTATAAAATAGCTCCTCAGTGACTGTTCACAGAAGGGAGGGGGGCAAGTGGGCAGCAAAGTCAGTGCCTAAAATGGCAAAAAACCCACCGTGCTTTTCTCTGGGTTGGGCACGGTAGGACAGGGGTGTGTGAAGCAGGCCTCTCCTCCGTCCCTCAGAACCAGCTGGCTGCCTCTGCAAAGCTCCATTTCTGAGAAAGGGAAGCCTGCGATGCAGGGAGCCTGGAAGAGTGTTAGTCGTCCATGCAGCCCAGTGCTCGGCCCAGGAGTACAGGGCTCCTTGCAGGTCAATATCCCTTGGCCATTGCAGGGATGCTCACAAATCCTTGCCCCTTTCGGGCCTCAGTCATCCCATCTGCCAAATGGGTACAACCATCCCCACCCCACCCAGCTCATCAAAGCCAATAGAGCTGAAACCACTTTGGAAAGAAAGACTCAGAGACCTCATTATACAAATGAAGAAGATTGTTATTGGACCCAGGAGCAGGATCAGAGAGAAACAGCAGAAAGGGGGAGTGCTCAGCGCTGTGCTTTGAGCCCCTTGAGGGAGAGAAGCAGGAACTGGGCTGGAAGAACAGCACCTACAGGGAGGAGGGGGCCCCAGCTCTGCTGTGAATCGGCCACTTACTCGGTTCCCTCACCTGTACAAAGGGGGAGCACAGTCCCTGCCTGGCTCCCTCCAAGGGCCTCAATGCGGCTGTGAGAGAGCAGGCGTGGAAGAGCTTTGCACACTGAAGCGCAGTGCACACATGCAGGCTAACTACAGACCTGGGGCCCCGCCCCGCTGGGCTCTGGGGGTGGAGACAGTAAGTGTTGGCAACAAAAACACTGTCGAGGCCCAGACGGTCCTTTGAGCACCCTCAGATCCCTCACTTCTGCTCTCTCTCCCCGCTCCCCTCCACTTCCCTGGCATCCTCTGTCCTGGGGTCCGAGAGACCTGACCACGGGGTCGCTGAGGCCTGGGGAGAAGAAGAGTTCCTGGCCTGGGCCGGCCCACACTCCCACTCGGAACCTGAGGCTGGGGCAACACCAGCCGCACCCTCGGCGAGGCCCCGCGGTGGCCTCGGATCTCCCTCGATGGCCAAGGTTGTGTTCTGTGACCAACGATACATGCGCTCCCGATGCTGGGCAGGGCCACGGCCCTCGGCCCGACAGCCACCTGTTCAGGGAGGGCTTCTGTGCTTCTGGATAGTGTCCGTCTCTGAGCGTCACCTCCACCCTGGGGGAGGGTTGGCATGACCGGTGGTGAAGTCTTCCTCGCAGCACCCCGAGGAAGCCCGGGAAGGAAACGGCACCTGCCTCCTCCGGGCACCTCCAGACCAAGGGGCCCCAGCCCAGCAGAGCCTGAGCCGGCTCGCCACTCCTCTGCCCTGGGTCTCGGCTCCGAAGGGGCGGCGAGAAGAGAGCTGCTGGGAGAGCCCTCCACGGAGCCTTCAGAGCAGCGCCTTGAAGAGGAAGGAGAGGGAGGCTCCACAGGACAGCCCCAGGGCCAGGAAGAAGGTCATGAGGGCGCCGGCCACCTCCCTCTCGTGTGGCAGCACCTGCCTAGAACACACAGGGGCGGGAGCTCTTAGACAATGCCCTGCCCAGCCTGGACCCAGCCCCAGTGGCCCAGCCCTCCTTCGGGGACACTGAGTTCTGGTCTGTGCTGACCCAACCTCCAGCCACGGGAATGAGGCCCTTCTCTCCGGACTTGTTTCCCGATCGGTGAAACGGGGACCCTGGACAAGGACATCTCTAGGCCCCTGGGGTCCAGTATTGTAGGATTCTAGATTCTGCTGTCCCTCTTGATAAAATGTCCCCACACTGCCCGCCCCCATCACCTCTGATTCTCAACTCCATTGTCTGGACACTAACAGCCTATGAACCCTGCTTTTGAGCAAAACTTTAGCACCCCTTCAACTGAGAATTTGGGGAGTAGCTGGGCCCTAAGAAATAATAGTCCAACCCGTTTATCTCACAGATGGGGAAACTGAGGCCCAGAGAGGAGGCCCAGAACCAGTGCCTGGGTGACTTTCCCAGGCAGGAACCTCCGCAGTGGAGTCACCGTCTACCTAGCTCCTGGGCCGACAGGGTGGCATCAGCGAGGCCTGGAGGCAGCTGGGGCAGGGCTGGCCAGAGCAGAATGAGCCCCCCCTTACAGGCTGTCCCCCCTCAAAGAGTTAACCCACCTCCCACCCCCAGGCCCTCCCGGGCCGTCCCCAGACCTGGGCGCCAGGCACATGGTGAGGGACACCAGGTAACCATTGGAAACAGCGAAGACCATCATGAAGGTGATGAAGTAGGCGTCCTGGGGGAAGAGGGTGGGCAGCCGGGACCTCTGGGGCACGTGGCACAGCATGAAGAGCGGAATGAACAGGACGCGCAGGCAGACCAGCAGGGGCAGCAGCCGGCTGTCCTGGTCCGGCTGCGGCAGAAGCTGGGGTCAGGGCAGTCCCTGCGAGCAGGGTCTCTGCTCCAGGGGCACCCCAATGGACTCATGCCTCACTTCCCCCTGAGCCGCCCGACATGAGCTGGCCAGGACCCAGCTCTCGGGCCTGTGGAGGGCGAGGGGGTGGGCCAAGGCCACCCAGCGCGCAAGGACCGGCCTCTGCCTCTGCCCATCCCCAGCTTGTGGTCTGTCCATCGCAGAACGGGAAGAGGCCTTAGACAGCATCTTTGGTTTTCAAACTTGGTTCCTCCGAACATCCCTGGGGGTTCCACAGACCCCTTTGGGGCGGATGGGGCTGCTGAATGGGACTGGAAGCTGGGGATCCAAGCCCCATCCTGCTTGGATCAGAGCAGCTCCTCTTGGATCTACTGTCTTTATTGTGTCTCCTTGAAAGATTTCATTTAATGACACAGCACCTTGGCTCAAAGCTATGCAAACACTAGGACTGTTGTGGCCCCTCTCACGTGGCGCAGAAACCTCCACGCACGTCTCCAAGCACAGAGGGCTGGCCCTGGGCTGGATGCTGAGGACACGGGTCCACTGGACAGAGTGTCCGCTTCCAAGGAGCTCCCAGTGCAAGCCCGGGCTTGCATACCTCTCGGAGCCGCTGCTCACTGCCACTGGTGTCTGTCCATTCCGGGCCCAGACAGTTGGACTGTTGGGAAATGCCCATTCTGTGCTCTTTCACACCCTCTGCTATCCAGCTGCTGCCTAGAACCTTCAGGCCCCCCGCCCAGGTGTGCTCACCCACATGAAGTACGAGGTCAGGCTCCGGCCCAGGCAGTCCATGATGTTGAAGAGCAGGAAGCAGCAGATGGGGTTGAAGAACTGACCTGGGAGAGAGAGAGGCTCATCCTGGTCCCCACTCCCCTCTTCCTGCTCTCCCCTTCGCTCCCCTGCCCAGCCCTCTCCCGCTTCCCAGCACTCACTCCACTTCCCAGGACTGGTGGAGCTGGTCACCATGGCTGTGATGGCGGGGAAGACAGACAGGGTGACTGTGAAGACCAACACAAGGCACAGCGCCGTCAGCCAGATCTGGGAGCCGGAGGCAGGGGTGTGAGCAGGGGGGCAGGCCTGGGGCCTAACACGCAGCCCCCACCCTCCTGCCAAAGCCCTGGCCCAGGAGCAGGACACCTGGGGCCTGGCTCCGCTGTGTCCACGACCCACTGACCCTGCCACCGTGGGGTGGACCAGGTGAATACTAAGGCCCCGTTCCATGCTGAGTCTCTGGGGAGGGCCGGAGAGAGCGGCGTCTCTTCCCCAGGGGTGGTGGTCGGGGGTTATATCCAAGGCAAACCTTTCGGAAGACAATGAAAACGGAAGGTTTTCCTGGCTTCTGGGGTTCCTCTGGCTCCAGCTCTGGCTCCTTCTCAGGGTCAAGTTCCAGAGTCAGGGCTGCCTTCTGAGGGCTGTTGGGAATCCCGTTCTTCTCATCTGGGGCAAGAGGGAGGGCAGGGTCACGCCTGTGAGCCTTACCTATGAGGGGAGATTCCCAGCAATTAAAACAAGTGACCCTCCTTCAGCCCAGGGTTCAGGCAAAGAGAATTAACAACAGAAATAGGCTTGGCTACTGTTTATTAAGCACATGCATGTGCTGGGTAGATTCAGCACCTTGAAGGGACTATCTCACTGCCACTGCTCTATAAGGAAGGACATGGAGGCTCAGGGGGGTTCAGTGACTTGCCTGAGGCCACACAGCTTGGATGTTGTGAAGCTGGAACTCAAACTCAGATGCGTTCGGATCCAGAACTTGCATGCCCGAAGTGCTACTGCCTCCCCCTTACGGAGGAGGACTCTGAGGCCCAAAGGGCAAAGGGAGGACTTCGTTCATGATTTTTTTTTTCTGCCTCTGCTCACACAAGGCTACTACTAGCGGGGAGGGCTCTAGTTGGAGACAGAAAGCACGTCTTTCCCCGGGGAGGTGCCTCTAGCTTCCTCTGGGCCTCCCCGTCCCCAGCAGGGCCCAGGGCTCACCAGACCGGAGGAGCTCAGCTTTGGTCTCCAGCTCCTGACCTTGTGCCAGTGATGGTTTCCTGGCCAGGTAGTAGCGGGCCAGCTCCTGCAGGAGGCAAGCGTTGGTCCTGCCGGGCTTGGTTAAGGTGTCTGGATCCCTCCACACCCTGTTGGCTTAGAGGCTGTGTGGGGCGCGGCTACAGTGTTTGGACAGGTTCAAGCCTTGGACTGAGGAGAGGGCACAGTCCTCTCATTGCCACGTGCAAGTCCCAGCTTGGAGGGCAGAGCCCTCCCAGCACAATTATAGCCAACAGCTATAGCTGTAAGCTTGAACCTATGGTCTGAACACGTGGCCCCACGTGCCTGAGTGATAGAGTTCAGGTGCATGTAGTTGAGTAGGATTGAAACCCACGGGAATGTTGTAAACATCTTGATCACGCCCTTACTGTGCCTCGCGGCATCTGCTATAAAATAAAGACACGGCTTGTGGGTGCGGGTGCTGTCTCTCCATCAGAGACCCAGCTTTCATTCTCTTGTCTGTCTTTTCTTAATCCTTCACCGCCCCCACTCAGGGTCACTGAACCAGGCTGAGCTGGCGCGGCACATAAGGCGCCCTGGGGCTGAGTATGCCATGGCCGTGCCGGCTCGCCACAGGCTGGGGTCCCCTAGTGGCTGACTCCTTTGGGGATCAGGACTGGGGCTAGGTCCCCTCCACCTCCCTTGGGACGTCAGGCTCAGGTCAGGGCTGTATCTGAGATGCTCTGAAGTGCAGCCTCGACTTCAGTGCCAGGCTCACCATGTAGGGCAGGCTCAGGTAACACACGATGGACACGAAGATGCCCACGCAGGGTGTGATGAAGTACCCCAGGGCCGAGGTCTGGGCATCCACGCCACCTGTGAGGAAACTCCAGCTGCAGTGGGGAGGTGGCTGGTCCCACTTGCTCCCACAGGGATAACAACTCAGGTCCCACTTCCGCTTATGACCGTCTCAGATTCACCTCCCGGCCTCTCCCACTCCTCCCAGAAACAACGCGGGAATCCGGTCAGGGCCCCAGCCCAGCCCTTCACCTCTCTCACTCTCACTGTACTGTTTGTTTGTTTTTTTTGAGCACCTACTATGTGCTCATTATTACTGCATGCTCCTTACAATCTGATGATGGAACCATAATAACCATGTTGGTGAGGAAACTGACACAGGTAGGTGCTTTGTCCAATGCCCCGCCACTAGGGGGCAGAGGAACTGTGATTTGAACACAAATCTATGTGAATCCCAAACCTGTTCCTCCTTGCCTCAACCTCACCTGCAGCGACATGTCACTGTTGGCCTCAGGAATCCTGCCCCTGGCACCAAGTTAACCCAATCCTCACCCAGTCACTCTCTCACTGTAGAACCCAAACCCAACCCCCAGCTCCCCACCACCTCTGTCTCCACCCAGATCCCAGAGCATCTCACTCCTGGCACTCTCCCAACCCCCCAGAATCCCAGAGGCCACCCCCACCCCGTCCCCCTGCCCCCAGACACCCAAGTCTACTCACTGGCCATGGACATGAGCATGGCAAGAGCAGCAAAGATCCCAGCCAGGCCCTGGCCGCTGAGGAAGAGGGTGCTGTAGGTGGAGGGCATGGTGCCCAGCTGTCCAAAGAGGCTGCCCTGCAGAACTGCACAGAAGGCTGTGGAGGGACAAGAATGGGGACTGCCGCTCAACTAGGTAGGCTTCAGGGGCTCCCTGGAGGGGTGTCAGCAGGACACACTGTGGACTCTGGATGAGGTTGGTAGGCAAACTCTGGGGTAACAACCCCCATTCACTCCTCTTCGGAGGAGCATCCATACACTTGCAGGTCTAGGGATCAGGAGGCCAGCTCTTCGAGCCAGGAGGCCTGTCACAGTGACTTTTCCTCTCCCTCTGGGCCTCAGTTTCTCATCAGGGATCTGGGTGCTGCTGCTGCTGCCTTCCCTTTTTGGGTACATTGGGCCCTTTTAGTTACAAAAAGGAGGCTGGGCTGAAGTCCTGGGGGTGCTGGGCAGGGAGGTGGGTAGGGGCAGTGGTCCTCACAGTTGATGAACCAGACAGAGGCCATGGTGATGGAGAAGAAGGGTCCGGGCGTCATGTCCACCTTGACCAACGCCGCCGTCAGGGCGAAGAGCAGCAGGATGACCAGCAGGCTGCCCAGAATCCGCACCGTCTCCGGGATGCTGCTCATAAGGGGGGCAGAGTGGGCATCAGCTGGGCCCAGGTCAGGCCGGGGGAGGTGGCAGGAGGTTCAGCCCGGGGCTGGGCAGGGGGTGGGGGAAGATGCGGGGAGTGTGGAGGAAGGAAGGGAGGTCTTCCCTGGGCCCAGATGGAGCTGCCTCAGCAGGGGTGGGGCAGGGACAACAGAGGGTGGCCTGGGAGGGAGTCCGGAGGCCGGCCGCTCACCACTGGTACAGGAAGGAGTTGAGGAGTGTGAAGAGCAGCAAGGGCAGCTGGGACAGCAGCGTCACCCAGTTGTTGAAGTTGAAGGTGTCTGCAGGGCCAGTGTGGTTGGTGCTCAAGGTCACAATCGTGCTGTTGGCCCCCGCCAGCCGCCCCTGGAAGTACTGCCAGGGGTCCGGGAGAGGGGGGACAGGGTCACCCTAAGCACACCCTCAGGAACCGCCCCGCCTCCCCGCTGCCGGCCCCGCCTTGGGATGGTTTGGATAATTTCTGTGGGGACTGTCTGTCTGTCCTTGTACTGTTCCCAGAACCTGGCACAGTTGGAGCTCAGTGAATGTGCACTGAATCGAACGGCTGCGATCTGGAACAGAGCCCAAGCCCTAAGAACCCCCAACAAGGCCTTGCTTCATCTCCACATCACCCCTCTCCACCGGTGTCCTGGCTCCAGCCCCCACCGCCGCTCCAGCAGCAGCTTCTAGGTTCCTGAGTACTCACTGAGCGCTACAGTAAGCCAGGCTCTGGCCTACGTGCTGACCAACCACATTCTCTCTGGAACGCACACCCTGCTTAACCCCCCTCCCAGTGCCCATGGCTCCCTATGGCCTGCAGGGCAAAGCCTCAAGGTTTGGAAACAGCATTTGGGGCCTTCAGAACCGGAGCCCAGCCTCCCTTTGTGCCCCATCTCTTGCTCTGTTCCCTCCCCTGGAGACCCAAGCCTGGAGGTCAGGAGTCACGTTTCATTACATTATTAATAGCTCCCTGGCACCCGCCTTGCTTTCTAGACCAGGGGCTAATTCAGTTTGGGGTCTGCAGGGCCCAGCACAGAACCGGGCACCGAGGAGCGTCTAGAAAGCTGTACTGAATATATATGAACAACCCAGTCCCAGAGAGAACAGCGCTACGTTCCTGCCTTCCCTGGCGAGAACTCAGCTCTGTGAGGATGCAGCCTTCCTGTTATGTTTCCTCCAGCGCCCCCAGTGCCAAGACCAGGGCGTGGCCCACAGTAGGTGCACATTTACTCTCTGTTGGATGAATGAATGGAACTCGTACTGTGGGTGCCCAGTTTTGGAGTGACTAACACCGGACCCCCTGAGCCGGTGGCCTTGCCCCTCTAGGATCGGGCAGCCCCGAAAGCTAGACCTTCCTAGCCAGAGGGGCACCTCCTCTCTCAGGGGCTCCATGCTTCAGCGGGCACCCGGGCACAATGAGGAGTCAAAGGCGGCGTCGCAGGGACAGAGGGCGGTTGTGGCCGTGGGGCTGTCACTCCGCCGCGAGTCTCACCGGGATGGCCGTGATGAAGAAGTTCCAGGGAAGGAGCGTGCCCAGCCCAAGGATAAAGAAGCTGACCCCGACCAGGTGGTAGCTGTGGGGATCCGTCAGAAGGTCACCCCGAGGACGCAGCTCCTCGGTCGCCCCTCCCGTCCCCCACTCCTCCCCCATCCTCGCTGCAGAGCGGACTACAGCCCCCATCACCCTGGCGCAGGCCGCGGAGGAGGCGGCTAATGGGAATTGTAGTTCCATTCGCTCGGCTTTGCGCCTTAGCGCGCCCAAGGAAGCGGGTCTGCGCTGCCCACGGCCACCGGATTTCCGTGCTCACCCCCCTGGTCCCCAACTTGCCTGTCCTGCGGGATGTCTCCTCGCGCCATGGCCGCCCCGCGCGATGCGCCCGGGGCGAGAGAGGTGGGGTGCCGCACCTGCCCCTGCGCGGGGCCGAGGACCAGGGCGCCCGGGAGGCTCGTTCTGGCCGGCGGTGCGCAGAGGGAGGGGATCGGGTCTCCTCGGAAGGCAGGGGGAGAGGCGTGAGGGCGGGAGGGAGTCGCAGGCCAATTTCCCCGGTTCTAACCTTCCGCAGGCTCCGGCTCGGCTCCGCCCCCGGGGCGGGACAGAGCGTCGCACCGCCCCTCTCCACCTCCCGGCCTGGACGCGGGACCCGGGGTTCGGACCCTGGCCCTGCCTCGGGGTCCCCGGACCCTGCGGCTTCCCGCGCAGCCCAGTGCGGCTTGGAGGCGGTGGGTCCGGGAAGGCCCCCGGCGCCTCCCCTTCGGCAGGCGGCTGTGCGGGCCCCTGCAGGCGGGGTGAGGCAGGTACCCCTTGCCCCTCGCCGAGACCCAGAGCTGCCCTGGCGCGGTGTCCTGCCCCCCGACTCCCTGTGCTGCCAGATTCGCGCTAGCGCCCCCTAACGTGGGAGCCCACGGAGGGGCCGGCTCGCCCAGCCCGGGCGGAGGGTGTAACCCGAGCGGCGCTGCGCCCGGAGGCTGGAGACCGCGTGTCGCCCGCGGTCTGGGCGCTGCGGGGCCGAGGCGGGGGCCGCGGCCGGTGCAGGCGGAGCTCCCGGGCCGGCCCGCACGGCAGACGGACAGACGGCCGCTTCCCCTCCAGCGGGCGCCTGGGAACCGCCGGGTCTGCGGGGCGCACAGCACAGGCTTGGGCCGCCGTGGGGCGTCCTGGCGGACTTCTCGCTGCGGGGAGGCTGAGCTGTGACCGAGCAGCGAGAGCTTAACCAGCGGTTCTCAACCTGTGGGTCGCGACCCCTTTGGCGGTCGAACGACCCTTTCACAGGGGTCGCCTAAGACCATCCCGCATATCAGATATTTACATGACGATTCATAACAGTAGCAACATTACAGTTATGAAGTAGCAACGGAAATAATTTCATGGTTGGGTCACAACATGAGGAACTGTATTTAAAGGGCCAGAAGGTTGAGAACCACTGTAAGCGAAGGCTCCGCGGAAAGGGTGACCCGGAGGGCAGCCCGGGCTCCTTCCTCAGCTCGGCTTGTGCTCGCCCACCGCTGCCGCAAAAAAAAAAAGAAAGAAAAAATTACTTTCTGCGGTCCCAGGTCACATCACATCAAACAAAGTTTTTTTGTGAAAAACTTTGAAAGATTGTAGAGCACCGTAATTTTGAAATTAATTTGCTCTAACTCATACAATTTGCGGTGGTTTGTTTTCTCTGTAATCACCGTGCATAGAGGATGCTGAAGTGAGAGGCTCTGAATCACAAATTACTTCCTTAAGTAATGAAGTTGTATGGCCACGCCCAGGTTCCGCGCGCGCGCGTGTGTGTGTGTGTGTGTGTGTGTGCGCGCGCGCGCGCGCGCGCGTTTCTCCAGCCGCTGTGTCCGCGGGGACTGCTTTTCTGGGTATTTCATTATTGCAAACATCTGGCGCCACAGCCTGGCCCGTAGCAGCTGCTTGATAAATGGTGAGTAAAGGGATCGCAGTGATAGCGAGAGAGTTTAGGGAGAACAGAGGCGGCATTAAATTACACTGAAAGAGAAACTTACTGTCTTTTCAGTTTGCTTTCAAGCCTTCGGAAAGGGGGAACGTCTCAATTCAGTGCTAACATGTTTCTAATCTCTCCCTGTTAATCTCTCCCTCTCTAACAAGGGCTTCTGTTGACCGTGTTATCTAAATAGAAATGAATAACTTTTCTGTTTCTTCTATTTTTATAATTGCTTTATTTTTAGGGCTATTCATGCTAGTTTCCTATTTATGGTAATTGTATACCCTTTGAAGAATAAAAGTATGTGTAGTTTAATGAATAAACTTATTTAAATTAACTAAGTATAATAAAATTTAAAAATACACTTCCTAGAATTAAAAAACAAATTAAATGTAGATAATTTAAAAATATAAATTTGTTTAAACAACGTTTAAGAATTTATTTAAATTTAAAAATAAACCTGTTTATAAACTTAATATAAATTACAATTTGTCTCTGAAAAATGGGTCATGTCAAGGAACTTCGGTAAATGGCAGTGCAGGTGGTGCACAGCCGAGGCACCAGTTTCAAAGGAAGGATGTGAGGAGCTGAGATGGGGGAACACAGCATTGTCTGAGACCTGTTTGAAGAGGATTGAGGGCCTTTCAGGGAGAGAACAGCCTGTACCAAGACCAGGGACGTGAGAATGTCGACACATTCTGGGACATACAAATAGATCCCTTTGGCAGGCACGGTGGAAGGACCTGGCAGGGCTCGGCGACAGGCGGGCTGGTTATGACAGGCCTGAGGGCTGAGTAAGGAGTTTGGATTTCATTTTAAAGGAGACGTCCTCAATTCCATCAGAATCAGCCGCCCTGTAATAGCAAATATTTTATTACTGTCCTCCAATGAAATGAATAGATAATAAAACCCACCTATACACAAGAAGTTAATGTCAATATAAAATCCTTCTTGTACTACTCAGGAGAAAGAGAAGTATCTAGTAATAAATAAAGTGTGTTTGAGCGCGGGAACGCTCAGGCACAGGGAAGCAGGCTGCAACGGCGTGGTGTCCAGGCGCCTGGCAGACCGGCCGCCGAAAGACCACCAGGCCGCCGTGGGAGATGTGCTTTTCTGAAATGGTGACCAAGTCTTGGCAAACTTCCAAACAAAGCAGAGTGCAGCTGTCCCCCTACACAGATAGTCGCTGCGTGGCTGAAAAGTGGGGTGGGTACTCAAACCTTAAAACAATACATTGTGTCCATGAGTAAAATGGGGTTAGGGTCTAGTCTAGCCTCATACAATGCCAACGTGGTTTAAAAAATATACTAATATATCTTATTTTTTAGTACAGTTTTAAATTCCCAGAATAGTTGAGCAAAGTACATAGAGTCCATATACTCGCCCTCCCACCCCATTCTGTTTCCCTTAATGACAGCCATGGGCTGCATAATGATGTTTCTGCGGTAACCACAAACCGCACATGGGAGAGTTTTATGGATCAGGGTTTGCCGACTTCAGTCCTGTTGTCATTTTGTCAGATAATTCTGTGTTGTGGGGCTGTCCTGTGCCTCCTAGACCACACCCCCTACGTGCCAGGAGCACCTTCCCCGGGCGTGTTAAACAGTGTCTCCACAGATTGCCAAATGGCCCCGGGGGCAAAATTGCCCCTGGTTGAGAAACCTGTTCTGGGGCCTCGGAGCTCCGCCTCTCCCCTCCCTGAGAGCCCAACCCAACACCCTCTTTTTATAGCACATTTTGTAACACCACTCTGATAATCCTGAAAGCGATTTACAAGTAACATAACCCATCCACACAATGTAAAAGCAATGCTAATGCCCTAAGTGTAAGGCAAAGGAAAGCTGAAATGAATAATTTATAATAAAAGAGTAAGTATCTCGCCCTAACCGGTTTGGCTCAGTGGATAGAGCATCGGCCTGCAGACTCAAGGGTCCCAGGTTCGATTCCGGTCAAGGGCATGTACCTTGGTTGTGGGCACATCCCCAGTAGGGGGTGTGCAGGAGGCAGCTGATCGATGTTTCTCTCTCATCGATGTTTCTAATTCTCTATCCCTCTCCCTTCCTCTCTGTAAAAAAAAGCAATAAAATATATTAAAATAAAAGAATAAGTATCTCAATAGGTAAATCTTTGGGCACAACTATAAAATAGAGTTTGATGCTTGTACTTCTAATAAATATGCTTAGATTTAAGAGGAGTTAGAGGATCAGAAGGTAATTCAAGAAGAACAGGAAAATGAAAGCGCAATGATACAGGTGAACACCAGAATAAGAGCACAGGAAGGATAAGTAAAAGTAATAACAGACCAGACTTATTTGTGTGTGATAAGAGAAAGGGATACATAACCTTCATTGAAATCTATATGTCATGCCAAAATACCTTCCCGCTGAAGTAGAGAAAATAAGAAGTTATGATATTTTTGTAAATGATCTGAGCTTTATTTATGTTTTCTGTCAAATTAATTCCTGATATAATGACGTGGGATTGTGTCACAAGACATGTCTCCTGTTTTTTTGTTTTTGTTTTTTTTTAAATATATTTTATTGATTTTTTACAGAGAGGAAGGGGAAGGGATAGAGAGTTAGAAACATCGATGAGAGAGAAACATCGATCAGCTGCCTCCTGCACACTCCCCACTGGGGATGTGCCCGTAACCGAGGTATATGCCCTTGACTAGAATCGAACCCGGGACCCTTCAGTCCGCAGGCCGACACTCTATCCACTGAGCCAAACCAGTCAGGGCTATGTCTCCTGTTTTGAAATCTCACTTCATGTGAAGGCATAGAGAGAGTCCCTAATACTCAAGAAGCTGGGAATCATAATATCTTTTGGTACAATAATAGAGTATAGAGTGGATTGCAAAGAATAAGCAGTAATATGAGATTGTGGTTGGTTGGGTATGTTTCTGGGAAAAGTATATGAGTAAGATTTCTTTTTTAAACCTAGGTAATGCAAAATAAGTAAATAATTACAATATGCAATTTTCATATTATAGATTTCTTTTTTATATCTTTATTGATTTTTTTACAGAGAGGAAGGGAGAGGGAAAGAGAGTTAGAAACATTGATGAGAGAGAAACATCGATCAGCTGCCCCCTGCACACCTCCCACTGGGGATGTGCTTGCAACCAAGGTACATGCCCTTGATGAAATCGAACCTGGGACCCTTGAGTCCGCAGGCCGACGCTCTATCCACTGAGCCAAACCGGTTTTGGCAAGAAAATATTTTTAAAGAATTCCTTTGCAAAGCCATTTTACTTCTAAGGGTAAGTAAGATAAAAAAAAAAAAGAAAAGACGGATACTTTTGAGCAGTATTGATCAGGAATTTTGTAGAATGCCCCCCAGATCGGGGTTTTCTGTTTTTACTTTGACTAGCCTGGTGTTATGGGGGAAATACCACTGCGGTAAGTGCCCTTCTGATCACACATCAGAGTACCTGACATTAGCATGACATCATTGGCGATGTTAACTTTGATCACTTGGTGAAGGTCTTGTTGCCAGGTTGTCCGCTATAAAGCTACCATTTCCCCTTTTCCTACTCTATTCTCTGGAAGTCAGCCGCCGAGTCCAGTCTCCAGTCAGAGGTGGGCGTGGCTAAGCACTAACTCCCGGGTGGGGTGGGGGAGGGAGAGGAGCTACACATACATTTGGATTTCTTCTGTGATGCATGCTTATCTCTTCTCCCCATTTATTTATCAGTATGCTAAATATATATATATATATATATATATATATATATATATATCTATATATATATTCACACTAGAGGCCTGGTGCACAAAATTTGTGCACTGGGGGGAGGTGTCCCTCAGCCCAGTCTGCACCCTCTCCAATCTGGGACCCCTCGGGGGATATCTGGCTGCTGATTTAGGCCAGATCCCACCTATCTGGGACTGCTGGTTCCCAACCACTCGCCTGCCTGCCTGCCTGATTGCCCCTAATTGCTTCTGCCTGCCAGCCTGATCGCCCCCTAACCACTCCCCTGCAGGCCTGGTCATCTCTAACTGCCTTCCCCTGCAGGCCTGGTCCCCCCAACTGCCCTCCCCTGCAAGCCCGGTCACCCCCAACTGCCCTCCCTTGCCAGCCTGATCGTCCCCAACTGCCCTCCCCTGCGGCCATCTTGTGGCTGTGGGCATCGCCATCTTTGAGGGCAGGGCAGTCAATTAGCATATTCCCTCCTTATTGGCTGTGGGTGCCACCATCTTTGTGACAGTGTGAGGGTCAATTAGCATATTCCCTCTTTATTAGTTAGGATTATACTTTGAGTCCTAATCCAGTACCAAGTTATTTACTTGTTGCTCAGATTGTTCCAGCATTGGCCCCTGGAATTCTGTCAAGTGACAAGTCCCCATCCTTTCGTTTTGAGTACTGCCCCTCAAAGGAGAGGTTCTCAGTTCAACTCAATCAGAATCAGTCACCCTTTTTTTTTTCAGTCACCCTTTTTAAAAAATATATATATTTTTATTGATTTCAGAGAGGAAGGGAGAGAGAGATAGAAACATCAATGATGAGAGAGAATCATTGATCAGCTGCCTCCTGCATGCCCCCTGCTGGGGATTGAGCCTGCAACCTGGGCATGTGCCCTTGACTGGAATCGAACCTGGGACCCTTCATTCCGCAGGCTGATGCTCTATCCACTGAGCCAAACCAGGTAGGGCTCAGTCGCCCTTTTACTAACAAATATTTTTTTTTTTTTTAAATATATTTTATTGATTTTTTACAGAGAGGAAGGGAGAGAGATAGAGAGTTAGAAACATCGATGAGAGAGAAACATCGATCAGCTGCCTCCTGCACATCTCCTACGAGGGATGTGCCCGCAACCCAGGTACATGCCTTGACCGGAATCGAACCTGGGACCTTTCAGTCCGCAGGCCGACGCTCTATCCACTGAGCCAAACCGGTTTCGGCTACTAACAAATATTTTATTGCCAGCCTGCAATGAAATTAACTGCAGGACAGTCATAAAGTCACTATCTCAGGCTCAGCTGGTGTTTTCCCCGCCCGAGCCCTGACGCAGCCATACCCCAACGAGTCCCCGAGCCCCCGTTGCTTTTATTGGAGAACAGAGAACGGTAGTTACAAACCAAGAACGGGGCACTGGGAACCAAGGTGGCCTTTTAAAAATGAAAATCGGGTTAAATCAACTTCCTGCATGTTTTGAATGGTTTCCCACTGTGCTCAGATGGCTCCTCCCCTCAGCTCACCAGGCCCCTTCCCAGGACACTCCAAGTTTTCTATATTTGTGAGGCCAGCATGTTTTATTTTGTTCTTAATATAGATATTTTTATTGATGTCAGAGAGGAAGGGCTCAGCTCCGAGGGACTAGACTGGGCCCTTAGGAACTAGGCGGGGCTCTTCCGGGCGAGGCTCGGAAAGTCCCCAACAAAGAGCTATCTGGCCCCAAAATGCCAATAGTGTCAGGTTGAGAACTCCTGATAGAGAGAGTCTTGGTGGCTCATATTTTAGTCCATAATTACAGAATATCAAGGTGGAATTGGGACCGAACCAGAGGAAGATGAACAACACCCAGGAATGGGTGTGAAGACAGAAGGAACACTGAGTGATCACTGCCCTTTTAAGAAGGGCGTGTGTGCTTTGACATCTGTGTGCGGGAGAGTAACATTACATATGGGGGGTGGTTTGTTGCTGGGATGTCTGAGGATGAGAAGAGGACACGTGAATGTTGAGTGACTGGGGGAGGAACTTGGCTGACGTGGTAAACTAGCTCCCTCCGCCTCACCCAACCTCCTGCCCGCGTGTGCTTTCTGCACTTCAGAGGCTGGGCAGAGAAGCACCCATTCCCCAGGCTGGCTCATAGCTCGGGTGCTGGGTGTGGTTCCGATCCAGCCCGCCAGGTACAGCGTGTGAGCCCTGATGGCACTGCTGGACCAGGCTCGTGGGCAGCGTGCCAGGCACTGTGGGCTCTGGAGCCAGCAGTCCTGATACTGACTTCCTATCCGCAGATGCCAGACAAGGATTCCCCGGACCGACACTCAGCGGCAGCTTCCCAACGCTGAGCCAAAGCGGTGTCATCCCAGAGGCAGCAGTTGGAACAGGATTCGCCGCCCTCCTGAGTGTGGCCGGCTCAGCGGGTCCCGGGAGGGGCAATTCTGCAGGGGGGTTTTGAATGTCATTTCTGAGAGCCCGTGCCTCCGTTCCTTCCACTTGTTCTATAAACACAAAATCCCTACATGGGATCCCTCAACGCTCCAAAAAGCAAGAGTAGTTTCTGCATTGGAACCGGACGGACACAACCGTAAATTGTATCCATAATACTTGTCAATAAGGAAAATTAAAAACTAAGCAGAAACCGTGAACAAGCATCGCAGAAGAGAAACATCCGGTCTATAAACATGGAAAGTTGTTCGACCTCCTCAGCTTTCGGGGAAACGGCTGGGGTGACCAGGAGAGATAGCCCTCCACACCCAGCAGACCCACAGTCTTCAATGCCAAGTGCTGGTGAGGGTACAAAGCAGCTTTCACACAGTGTTGGAAGGACACGAATTCAACCGCTTAGAGACACTTTGGAGTCATTACGAAAACGGGACTTTTATGCCCGACAACCGGAAGCTTCACTCTAAGTAGCCCTGAAGCAGCATTTCCCCGCCTTCCTTAGACACGACACACAGAGAAAAACCACAAGATGTCATCGCACACGGAGTCCAACGAGGAGGTGGCCCACAGATAGCGATGACTGGCCAGGGGCCTGGACACAGCGGGCCGCCACCCGGCCACCCGAAGGGCTGACAAGAACACTATCCCAGGACGCCCATCGGTACACCTGTCGGTAGCACCGTCCCGGCAGCCCTTGCACATGGGCATCGGAAGACATGGGCAAGAACGACCAGGGTGGCAATGTTCACGCTGGCGGAGAAAGGGACACTACCCAGGTGCCTAGCAACAGGAGGATATACCAACCAAGTGGTATATTCACATCTGGAGGCCATGCAGTGCAGACGCATGAGGCGCAGCCACAAGCAGCATACAGATGAGGCCTGGTGCCAGTTACTCACTGGTCGCCTCTCGGCTCCCATCAACCCGTCTGCCCTGCGTCGCGATGCAGGAGCTGGGCGCTGTGAATGCCTCGTTTCCGCCAGCTGCCACGTTGGACCGACTGGTAGACACTGGCTGGACCCTGCAAGAGGAAAAGGCTTGTCTTCCTGGTCCTGGTGCTTTTATTCTTTCTTCTCCCACATGCAGCCAGCAGCTGTCTTCCCAGGAAGGCGTGCCAGCACCCAGCAGCTGGTTTCTGCTCTCCAGCCCAGCTGGTGCAGCTCAGCGACCTCCTCTAACACTCAGCAGACCCCGTTCCCCCGCCTCCCCCTCTCCCCACAATGAGGGCTGGATTTCAGCCTTGGTTGGGGGAGGGCTCTTCCCAGTTATTCCGTCTTTGTATGCTCTTCTCAGCCCTAGAGGTAGTAGCTACTTATTCATTGACTAGTCCTAAGGACTTTAAGTTCTCTACTAGCCCTCTTAGTACTTAAGCCTGTTTACTTATGAATAATTCTCTATATTAAATTTTTCTATATAAATTACTGGTCTGGTTTCTATCTCCTGATTGATACACTCCCCCAAAATATATTGAATTTTTTAAAAAGCAAGTTGTAGAAAAACACATACAGTGTATCTGTGATTATATAAAATTCAAAAGCAGGCAAAATTAGGCAATATATTACTTAAGGGTACACACATATATGATAAAAACAAAACTATAGCCCTGGCCGGTGTGGCTCAGCTGGTTGAGTGTCATCCCATGCACCTAAAGGTCACCAGTTTGATTCCTGGTCAGGGCACATGCCCAGGTTGCAAGTTCAGTTCCTGGTCGGGAGGAATACAGGGTGCACACAGGAGGTAACCGAACACACCCAGTAGATGTTTCTCACATCGATGTTTCTCTCCCTCTTTCTTCCTCTCTCTCTAAAGCCAATAAAAACAGCCCAGCCGGTGTGGCTCAGTGGTTGAGCGTCAACCTATGAACTAGGACCATGGTCGGCAAACTGCGGCTCACGAGCCACATGCGGCTCTTTGGCCCCTTGAGTGTGGCTCTTTTACAAAATACCACGTGCGGGCGTGCGTACAGTGCGATTGAAACTTCGTGGCCCATGCGCAGAAGTCGGTTTTCGGCCTGGGCGAGTCTATTTTGAAGAAGTACTGTTGATATTTGGCTCTGTTGACTAATGAGTTTGCCGACCACTGAACTAGGAGATTGATTGCTGGTCAGGGCACATGCCTGGGTTGTAGGCTTGTTACAAAACAATAGCTAACTGATACAGAACCTAAAGGATGAACAAATCGAAATGGGTACAATGCCACAAAGACTGGCCTCACTGACTGTAGCTAGAACGTGGAAAATTTATCAACTAGTAGCCTATGTGCACGGGGAGTATGGCTGGTTTATAAGAATTTACTAGCAATGGCTCCAATTGAAAATACCCACAGTTCTTGGCCCTGCCTGGATGAGATCAGAACTGAATAGCCATGGAAAACCACAGCTGAGAGGCCACATCTCTCTGCCCATCTCCACTCCCGCTGCCATGACAAGCTAAAACCTTGGGTGTGGGACACAGCCCCGGAAGCCATGGGTATAGATATGGGGTGGGTGGGAGATTACACATGGGTGCTCATAACCCAGCGGTGGAATGGTGAGTGGATAGGGAATTTACCAACAGATCCCAACTGTTACACTGGGAGCCACTGGCTGCTCAACAGGACATTCTGTCAGGAGACAGGGAGAGTCTATGTGGATAACTAAACACAACCCTTGTAAGAGAAACCTTGGAGTCAGAAAGAGGGGCACTTCTGGAAGCCAAGATCAACAGTAATTAATACAAATGCGAGAAGTCCAGTCAGAAGGCTGAATAGGGCTTTGCTATTCAGAAGGCTGAACATCTCCATGTTGTTACCTCCTGCTGACTTAATGGCCGAAGGCAACCCCCCTAACCTGATCATCTTTCACTGTTTACTAAACATTACCTTTGATATGCCTGTTTGCATTCCTAAAAGGCAATTGTGTATTCTAGTCAATGAAAAGGGGATGGGTGCGGAGATTCAGTGGGGCTTGGCCACTTGAACTAAGTTCACATCTGGCTTCCCCCATAATTCCCAAATTTATATTTCTTGTCTTGTGTATTAGTTTGCTCATCAGCCCTTTCTCCAGGCCTCTGAACACAGGCCACATGGGCCATGGCTTCGCAGGGCACCCCAATACCAGTCAGCAGCTGGAGGAAGCAGTAGGAAAGCATTTAGGAGAAGTTACTTGGGGACACATCCGGGAAGTCTGGATAAAGGTGACTTCTGGATGGATCTCTGCCACCCTCTCAGGGTTGCCAGAATGGCAGCAAATCCTGTTAACGAGCTCGTGGGAAAACAGCAGAGCCACCCAGGGTGAAGGAAAGATGTTGACTGACCTGGTGCCCTTTGAATGGAACAAAAATGGCCATTGCAGGCTTGGAAGTCCAGGTCTAATAAGTGGAGTTGCTGTCACCCACATGGGGACAACATGCCTTGTAGCTATTGGGTTGCTATAAATTCCTGATAAACCTAAATCACGCTGGCAGCAGTGCCTTTAACTGGAGATTTAGACATTGCAAACACTGGTCCTTTGCGTTCCCTTTAATGGTTTACACGCAAATCCTTAGCATCTCCAAGTGGGTTAGCTGAGAGTAATGGGGAGGACAGCAGCGGCAGCAGGGACAGATTTTAAATCTCCATAAATCACCACTTAAAATCAGAGGAACTAGCTAATAAACCCAATCACCTGGTCAAAGTTTACAACGAACCTAGAGGACAAGGTGTTCCCGTTCATCCCAAAATACAAGCCGGTAAGAATTAACCACAACAACGCCCAGAGACTTGCATGGAGTCAGCATCTTTGCAGGAATACAAGAAGGCAATAGACCTGAGGACAGTTATTCACTGGAAAGCAGGGCAGGAAGTGTTTATCCTCACATACGGGGAGGAAATGGAGCATGTAGCTGCCGTGAGCCCCCGGGAAGGGGGAAGGGTCCCTGCCCTCGCTTGGCCTTGGCTGCTGCATTTGCCTCTGAATGGGCTAGCTCCTCAGTCTGTCCTGAAGGAGTAAGGTCTCACAGGGGAGTGCTCTATACGCCCCGTTATCCTGCCACCTCATCCTAAAAATCCCCAGATCAGGCCTAGAGACCTGCACTCTATCCATGGCTGCGGAAACTTCCAGCGAAACATCTCACTTCTATGAGCCTCGTCTCCTTATCTGTAAAATGGGAATAATTCTAATAAGTGCTGTCCTGCTTATCGCAAGAGACTCTGAAGTGAATCAGCGGAGACCATGGGTTTGGAAGGGAGGGGTCAAGCATTGTGCACACAATCATGAGTTCAGGTGGCAATTCTGCCCCTTACAGGTGTGGGACCTTAGGCAAGCCACAACTTCTCTCAGCTTGCTTTTCTCACCTGTAAAATGGCCGCAGTCATAGTAGTAATCACCATCCTCCTCCTCCTCCTCCTCCTCCTCCTCCTTCTCCTCCTCCTCCTCCTCCTCCTCCTCCCCATCATCATCATCATCTACATTGCAGGGTTGCTGTGAGAACGAAATGAAGTGATACCAGAAAGCACTCAGCAGTGTCTGGCACCTGGGGAACATTCACTATAAACATTAACGAAGGTCAACGAGGTCTTTGTTAATTAGGGTCCTAATGTGAAGACTGAGATATTTTATGCTCTTCCCGCTCGCAAACACCAGAGGGCGACATAGACGAAGGGACCCCAGCCACAAGCATCCCTGACAGCGCCACCAGCGGCCACGCGGTGGCGCCTTAAGCCCACGATGTCTGCTTTTCCGCAGAGTTTGGGGAACAGAGAGCTAATGAAGTGAGAGGGGAGATGGGGATAAAGGGGAACCCTGGGAGCTGAGGAGCCCTGAACCAAAGGCTTGGGGGTCCCTGGACCGAGCAGCTCTTGGGTTCCTGGGACACAAAAAGGTATTGGAGTTTTTTTTAAATATGAGGGCGCTCCCTTCCTCCTAGAGCCGGGTCGGCATTCCCTTCCCCAGTGCAGCCTCGGGCCGGGACGCCAGACAGAGGGAGCGCGCGCTCCACCTCTCGTGCAGCTCATTCATCTGCAGTCGTGGTACGCCGTTGCCATGGAGACCTGATGCAGGCGGTGGGGAGGGAGGCCCCGGGTGACGTCGGCGCTGCTCGCAGTCGGTCTCCCGTGGCTTCCCAGTTCTTGCCTATTTTGGAAGAGAGCCGCAGCTCTTCTGCTGATGCGCGCGCGCTGGCGCCTTTAAAGGCAACTGGCGGAGTGGCGGCTCCGCCAGAGCCAGGGAGCTGCCCCCGCCCGCGAGCAGCGAGACCGGCTCGGGACCTGGGCTCGGGAAGCCCCTTGCACCATACCCCCCCTCCCCCCCGGACCATAGCGCCCTCCACTCACTTTAGGGAAATTTCCGCCATGGAGAAAGGAGGGCCTGCCCTTGTCCCTCGCCCCC